TAATTAGTACCGGTTATTCTATGATAATTATATGATACTGTATTGGTCACATGTATTGTGTATAATAGAAAACCATTATTGATATAATAACTGCATAATTGTGTGTAAAATATCACCATGGTTTACTGTTATTATGTCATCATGAGTTATGCCATTCAGCAATGGTCTGTCCAGAGCTTTTAAGAACTGTACGTGGTACAAACCTTGTTTTATTTATCGAGAAGGTAGTTATCTGTTATTAGTTATTGTTAACTGCTTAAATTGCACAAAAGACAAATTATCATTAATTTTTTATATCTCAGAATTTCAAGACAGTAAAGCTGAAAGTTACTTTTGCAAAATTTTGTTTTTTTCATTTATAGCATTATTATAAACTGATTACAGTTAATATGCTAATCATTCTTTTTGTAATGGAAATTACATTCATATGTAAATTAGCCATAACTCCCCAACTATTATTAGTCTGTTCTTATTGTTCAATGCTTTCAGGTAAAAAAAAGTCACATCAATACATTTGCATAGCATAACAATTAAATAAACATTTTTACAGCCCAACAAAGGCAGGAAAATGAGGAGCTGAGAAAACAACTGATTCATGAAAGCCATCTAAAGGAAAAAGCCAAAGCAGAGCTTGAGAGTATACAGAATGAATTTGACAAATTACAAGATTTTCTCCATCACAACTCAGACTGGGAAGGCCAGTACCAGCAAGTACAAACTGAGTTAAAAGTCAGTCGTCTAAATAACGATGAAAAAGATCAGATGATAGAGTCTTTGCAGACTGAGGTAAGTTTTTGTAAATTTTAATTGTTAATTCGAAAGAAGAAGAAGAAAAAATGTATAAAAATTATAATCTGCTTTGCCCTGCATCACATTCTCAGTTTGAATCTGTGTAAACCCTGGACCTAAAAATAGTACACCTCAGAATTCCTATGTTGATTTCACAATATGCAAATGCACCATGCTAATTATGCACAAATATTTTGATCCATATTTTAAAGGGAATGATAACTTTTGTTATTGAGAAACTAAATACAAGAATAACATTCACTTACTTTACCTGGTAATGCTCAGCATTACCCACAATGCAATGCTGCCATTGTGAATAATAAATCAGAGTCCAAGTAATTGCTTGGCCCTATAGCTACATTTCTTGTACTTCCCCCCATGGGACATTCAGAAAAAAAAAGTTCTCTAGAATATCAGTCTAGAAACTATACAATATGAAAAGTGTGCAATACTATAAGGTTGTATATCATGATACATCACTATTTTTGCAGGTAAAGTCACTAAGGAATGACATAAATTCATTTGAGAAAGAGAAATCTGAATTGATGATGGAGACAGAGGAACTGAACAGTAAAATCCATAGCATGGAAACACAGTTAGATGAAGCACAGCATGAAGTCAAATGGGAAGAGAATAATTCAATGTCTCTAGAATCTCAGGTCAGAAATCATTCCTTGTCAATACTAAGTTCCTAAGAATACTTTGCATTCGTTGTCAACACCAAGATCCTAATTAATGTAACAGAGAATATGGTAGAGAATATTAAAATTTGTATTAATAATACTGAACAAATTAAAAAAATAATGCAAAGTTAACAATAATCATTTTACTATTTTGAAACTGATAAA